ATTTCTGGGAGTTTTAGTAGTTCTTCTCTCTTCCTTTCTTCTTCTCTTGCTCTCTTCCTTTGTGGTTTGATGACTTTGTTTATTGTTTGTTTGGGTTCCTTTCTCTTAGATTTTGTGTACTTATTATGGGTTTCTGGTTTGTGATTACCATGAGGTTTATTTATAATAACCCATGTATATAGCAATCTATGTTAAGTTGATGCTCTGATTCTTTAGTTTGGCCTCTTTCTAACAGTTCTACTCTTTTACTCCCCTCCTCCCACATTTTATGTTTCTGATATCATATCTAACCTCTTCTTTGTGTGTTTGTATCCATTACCCCCTTCTCATGGAAACAGATAACTTTTTCCTATTTGTGGTGTTCTCTGTCTCCCCTAAGTGTGTCTCTTTAGCATTTCTTGTAGGACTGGTTTCTTGGTGATGAACTCCTTTAGATTTTGCTTGACTTGGAAACTCTTTGTCTCCCCTTCCATTCTGAATGATAACCTTGCTGGGGAAAGTATTCTTGGCTGTTGTTTTTTTCCTTTTAGCACTTTAAATATGTTGTGCCAGTCTCTTCTAGCCTGTAAGGTGTCTGCTGAGAAGTCAACTGATAGCCTTATGGGGTTTCCTCTGTATGTAATTTGTTGCCTATCTCTTGCGGCTTTTAGGATTCTCTCCTTATCTTTAACTCAGGATGTTTTAATTATGATGTGTCTTGGTGTGGGACTCTTTCAGTTTATATTTTTTGGTTCTGTCTGTGCTTCCTGTACCTGGATGTCTGTTTCCTTCCTTAGGTTGGGGAATTTTTCAGCTGTTATTTCTTCAAATAGGTTCTCTGCCCCTTTGTCTCTCTCTTCTCCTTCTGGTACACCAATAACATCGATGTTACTGTATTTGATGCTGTCCCAGAGGTCCCTTACACTGTCCTCACTCTTTTTAATTCATTTTTTTTATCTGTTCAGCTTGGGTGATTTCTTCTAATCTTTCATCCAGCTCACTGATCCAATCTTCTGTAACCTCTACACTGCTTTTTAGTGCCACTAGTGAATTTTTCATTTCCAGTATTGTATTCTTCATTTCTGATTTGTTCTTTTTTATATCTTTCATGTCTTTGTTGACGTACTCACTGAGTTCATCCATTCTTCTCCCAAGATCAGTGAGCATCCTTATGACTCTTTTTTGAACTCTCTGTCAGGTAAATTGATCCTTTCTGTTTCATTTAGTTGTTTTTTGGGGGTTTTGTCCTGTTTCCTTACTTGTATCATGCACTTTGCCTTCTCATTTTGCCTCTTTCTCTGTGCTTGTATCTATATTAGGTAGGTCAGCTACATCTGCCGATCTTGGAGAGGTGACCTTATGTAAGTGATGCCCTATGACGCGCAGCCATGTGCTTCCCTCTCATCACCAGTTCCAACTGTTCCAGGAGTGCCCCTATGTGGGCTACATGTGTGCTTCTTTCATGGCAGGGTTGTTCTTGCTGTAGGTGCCCAGGGAATCTGAGCTGTCCCCCTGGCCAGCTGGTTGTAATGCTCAGCTGCATGTGGTTGCTGTGGACCCTCCAGTCTCTGTCTTGGTGTGAGGAGCCCCAGCACAGTGGGCTACAAGGTCTAATAGCACTTTCCTGTTGCAATTTTTCTCTTAAGTGACTAGGCCCGCAGCATGGCTGGTTGTTAGGCTCAGGGCCTTACCATTGCTATAGGCCTCTGGCCTATAAGGCTCTTGTCAGCTCTGTGAGGATTGCAGCTGGGTGGGGTTGGCCACAGGCGCAGCAGCACCCAATTGTTTCAGGCTTTGGAAGGTGGGGCCGAACCCCTATGTGGCTGTTTCAGAAGCACAGGTCTTCTGCAGCTGACAAGCCCCACCACCCACAAGGCCACATACACAGTCAACACGGTCCTGCCCCATTTGCACGCCTTGAGCCCCTGAAATGGACCCAGTAGCCCCAAGGCCCCATATGCTCCACAAATTCCCCACACACTCTTCCCACTCCTCACGCATGCCCTGCCGCACAGAGGTGGACCCACTAGCCAGGCTTCGGAGAATCCAGGCACGAAAGTTACCCATTGGCACTTTGTTGGGTGGGACCGGTCCCTAGGGTAGACTGCTTTTCTTGGCTGAGCTGGATTACGTTGGTGCTCTAGTGGGTGGGACAGAGCCAGGGCTAGCAGGCCACAGAGAGAACTCCAATGGCGTCTGCCAGCATCTGTGTCAGTATGCCCACAACAGGTCACGACAATGGCCGCCACCAATGTCCCTGTCCCCAGAGGGGTCTCACCTCTCACCAAGATGCACCCAGAGCCTATCAGGTGAATCTATTTTCGATAAAGGACTGTGCACTTTTCTTTCTGGTGATTTTAGGTTACATTCTGAAACAGGTGAATTTGTCCATAGGCTCTTTAAGAGCTGGCTTAATTTCTTTATGTTCCAGCTTTTCTGGGGATACTCCCCATTGTTGTCAGTAGCCAGCAAAGCAGATATTATGACACTCATCTTGGTTGTGCTGGGTCCAAAAAATGCTTATATCAGTAACGCTCCCTGGCTCAGTCGCCCACTCCTCCAGGGAACTCTGTTTCTTTGGATTGCTCCCGGCCAGCCATGAAGCACTGTGGCTTGTGAAGGTGACATTTTTCCACTCCAGAAGGGAATTTCTGCCTCTTCCACCTCAGTCAGGATTGTCGTATCTTGCAGGTGCTCCTCTTATCCAGTTTGCAGTTGTCTCTCAGGGGTAATTTTTCCCAGATTAGTTGTATAGTGGGCTGTGGCTGTGGGAGGAGGTGAGTTCTGAGTCTGCCTACAGCGCCATCTTGTAGGGTCCCCTGGGGTATTCCTATCTTATCTGATGTATGGTCTTGTTCCAAGATGTTACACAGCCACGCTGTACACCTTGGTTCTTCAGAGTGCTTCCCTCCTTAGTGAAGCTCATTCTGCTGGACTAGGTAGTCCTCAGATTGCTCATGTAAGGAACTCTCTCTAGTTTTATTTTATCGATTGATTACGGATTATTTGAATGAGCATTTAACAACCAGAAAGTGTGTAGGTGAATGTTTTTCTTAGGCAATGGCAGTAATGCTCACAGCTTGCAGAGCTGGTGACCAATTTCCTACGCCATGAATTCGAGGGTAAACTGCGTTAAGCGGGAGAAATGGCAACTGTGTGGACGCTGTGAGAGGATGTTGGGCCAGCCAAGCCGGGAGTGTGCTGTGGATTTACCATGATTTACTCTTGGGAGCGACCAGAGGGCACTCCCTTCACCAAGGCTGTGGCCAGTGGCATTTTACAAAGTGGCCACAGCAACATTAGCAGGACCACGGGCTCCTCCATCAGCTGGCCCTGCCCCATGCAGAGGTGGGGTTCACTTTCCTCCCTGGAACCCAGGGACTGTGAGACCACCTCCAAGGAGACAGGGTCACGAGGGGCTGCGGCTGGATCTCTGACAGCAGGACCTAAGGAGACAGGGCTTCTCCTGGGAGTCAGTCCCGGGCACTGAGCAGCTGTCCACTTATGTGAAGGGGCAGTGCTGGGGAGTCCCTGCAGAGAGGCCCTTGGAGACAGAGAAGACCACGGGGGCCCGCCTAGCCCAGGTGACAGACGCCAAGTGGAGCCTTCCAGCCCCTCGCTGGTGTGAGTGGAGCCGAGAGGAGTGCCCACCACCCACAGAGCCCTGCACTGCCTGCAGCCTGCCAACTCACCAACAAAATCAGCGGGGTAGCTGTGCAAGCCTCTCCCTGTGTGGCGGCCCACTGCACACTCATGAGCCACCGGACCAGGGTTTGGGACCTGGATGTGGGTGCTGCTCTGAGAAACCCCCAACTGTGGCAAGTGGTGTGAGGAGTTGACCGTATGAGAGGCGGAGGGAGCCGGAGGAGACTGTTGGAGGACGTGGGGTGGCTCTGGGGGCACTCGAGGCCTAAGGATGCTGCAAGACCAGTGGGTGGTAGGGCTGGTTCCTCTCCTTTGTTTGAGGGCACCTCCTAGAAGGTTCACTTTCTACAGCCCTGGAGTCTGCTCCCAGCCCACCTGAAGGGGCCACAACACAAGCCCCTGACCACTGACCACTTGGAAGGAGCCAGGCGTGACTTCCCCGTTCCCTTTCCTGGCCCTTGGCATTTTTGGGTTGGGGGCCCGGTTGCTTCCCGGGGTTCCTGTTTCCAGGGCTAACGTGGAAGATATGGGGAAGCCCAGGGCTGCACCTGGGGCCTTGGGTGAGCCGTGGCACTCCAGGACACGAGACAGTGAGGGCCCACGTGCCCCAAATACAATCGGTCGGCTGGGTTTGGGTTCCCCCCTGGAGGGCAGGTGTTTGCCGTTTTTTTTTCGGTTGGGGGACCGTTTTTGGTGGCTTTTGCCCCTGTTGATTTTTTTCTTGGCCCTTCGGCTTTTTGTTTTTCCCCTGAGTGCCGGTTTTGCTTGGAGGATTGGTTTCCTTTTGCTCTTGGTTGTTGCCCCACCTTTTGTCCGGGGTTGGCGCTGTTTTTGGCGCCCGAGGGGGGGGGGGGGGAGGGGGGGGGCTCGAGGGGGAGAGCTTTTTCTTCTGGGGGGTGTGTTGTGGCGTGTGTATGCGCCGGGGCTGTGTTGTGGTGTGGTGTGTGTGCGGGGGAGCGTTTGTGTCCACTTTGCGCTGTGCCCGAGGGGGGGAGGTGTGTTCTGTGGTGTGGGGGGGTGAGGGGTCTGTTGTGAGTGGTGGGTTTCCCGCTCTGTGTTGTGTCTCGGGGCGCTATTCTGTGTGTGGGGGGGAGAGCGCAGAGCAGCGCATGTGGGGCGGGTTTTGGGGCTCTCTCCTGTGTGTCCGGGGCCCCCCTCTCCCCCCTGTGCCACACCCCTGTGTGGTGTCGCCCCCACCGTGTGTGGTCTCCCCCGGGGCTCTGTGGGACAAACCACCCAGAAGAAAAGGGAACTTCAGGAGCTAGCGGTGCCCTCTGGTTTCAGTCCCGTTCTTACTCTTTGCAGGGCTTTTGGGAGGGAGTTCACACCTCCCGCCCCGGGAACCGGTATGAACTCCGAGGAGCAGGGCAGTGGACATGGAGCGCGGGGCTGCGAGGAGCCACATGTGCCTGGAGCCAAAGCACAGAGAGGGCAGGGAGTCCTCGGAGACCCAGGCTGGACTGAGGGGGAGCCGTACTCATGACCCCACGCTCGGTGAGTGGGGTCCCACGGAGGAGGCAACGGGAGTGGAGTGGGGGCAGTTACATCAGCCACAGGAGCTGAGGGGAAACAAGGCCCTCAACGATGTCACGGAGGGACTCAAGCAATGAGCCAGCACAGGGGAATGCAGGCTGCCCACAGGTCACAGCGCCAACCCAGAGCCCGCACCAGGGAGCCATGGGCAGGGGCATGTCCCTGCCAACAGAGCTGGATGCAGTAGACGCCAAAGGAGGTCAACCTTGAGGAATGTGGTGGGCTGGGAGGCCAGAAGCCTGAAGCCTGCCACTGGCCATCTGTGCTGCTGGTAGGGCGGGGCAGGATCTGAGCTGCTGTAGGACAGATGCCAGGATGGACAGATGGATTTGACCATAGAACACAGGGAGGGGCCTGGAACAGGGGAGTTGAGGTAGAGGACCCCTAGGTGGCCTAAGGATCCTGACCAGGCAAATGGACACACCTCGAGCCCCAGGACAGGGTCAGAGGAGGTGGCCTTGTGTCCTGGGCTATGGCCAAGGTCAAGGGCAGCCGGACACCTGGGAGCAGAGCAGGGGGCAGCGTGGGCTCCCGTGTGCTCAGAACTCAGACAGCACAGGGCTGAGCAGGAGCTGAGTGGGGTATGGGAGTGGCATCGGGAGCCAGGCAGTGAGGGTCAGGAGCAGGAGCCGGGGATCCAGGGCCTGCAAGCTGGTGGGCACAGGGCAGCTGACCTGGAGGGAGCAAGGTCCAGAGGTGGCTTCCAGAAAGGATTTCCAAGGGGGGTGAGCAGCGAGGAGAAGGTGAGGCCCGGCTGTGGCCATGAGCTACTCCAGGAGGGGACCATGGCAGGGGCTCTACCAGGGTAGAGCTGGTCAGAAAGAGGGTGGGCACCTGGTGGCTCCAGGACATAAAGCCCAGCCTTGGGAAATGAATGAGTCCAGGAAGAGGCTGAACCTGGGCTTAGGACGCTGGGACAGGTTGGAGGGGCAGAGGCAGCCCTGGGGAAACCCAGTAGTCCTGTGCTGAGCTCAGGGACCTGTAGGAGAGTGGATCGTGGGGCAGGAGGGGTAGGGAGCTGCTGTGGACCTGATGCTCCAGGGACAAAGGGCAGAGAAGCTACAGGGGACAAGGAGACAGCAGGAGGGCACAAGGGGGCAGAACCTGACCCAGGAGCTACCGAGAGGCAGGCAGAGTGGCTATAGGAAAGCAGGGAACTCAGAGGGCAGGAGGGGCAAGGGGCTGCCCAGGAGCTCTGGGGGAGCAGGTAGAGCTTAGCAGGTTAGCAGGGGACGGGGAGGTCAGGAGGGGCAGGGTGTTATCCCAGAGCTCAGAGGGACAGACACAGTTTAGTGGGTGAGGAGGGAGCTGTGATGGAAGGCCAGACAGGGGGCTCCCCAGGAGCTCTGGGGGTGAGGAAGAGCTTAGCAGGCGAGGAGAGAGCTGAGACAGCTATAGAAGCAGGGGGCTGCCTAAGAGCTCCAGGGGAGCAGGCAGAGCTTGGCAGGTGAGCAAGAGCAGGTGGGAGGGCAGGAGGAGCAGGGCGCTGCTCAGGAGCTCAGGGGACAAGAATCACTGGGCCTTAGATAAACAGCGCCCAGGACAGTCGAAGCTGAGCAGGTACAGGGAGCAGGGACAGCTGGGGCTCAGGGAGCTCAGGTGTCCTCCCTGTGCAGGGAGGAGAGTGAGCTGGTGGAGGGATTGGGTGGAATGGTGAGTTGGGTGGAAGGAGGACCCTGGGCTTTAGGTCTCTGGGGATGAAGGGGCAGAAGGGAACCAATGAGAGGACCAGATAGGATGTAGTTCTTGGGTACCAGGGCAATAACCCTGTTCCAGGGACTTGTGGGGATGTGGGAGAGTCGGGGTAGACATGCGGAAGCCGTGCAGGGTGGCACGGAACAATGGACCTGGCAGAGGGAAGAACAAGGGGCTGAATTGCAGTCTGACCCTGGACTGCTAGCCTGGGGAGAGGTTGGCAGGGCCCTTGGGCTGAGCAGACAGGAGTCACGGTTGCAGGTGACAGGCCTGGCCGGGGTGTGTGGGTAGAGGGTACAGCCCAGCCCACACTGGGGACGGGGGATGCTGGAACTGAGGGCAGAGGAGGCCCAACAGGCAGGCATGGCTCCCACATATTCCCACGGGCAGGCTGGCTCAGGAAGGACCAGCCAGAGGAGGGCTCTGGAGTAAGAAAGGAGCGAGAGAGGACCAAGAGCAGGGACGGCACAGGGCGGGGGCGCTGGGTGGAGGGGCCAGAGGTCAGCTCAGAAAGCCAAGCCAGGAGGACCTGAGGAGGGAAGGTCAGCCCAGAGGAGCATTTAGGAGCCTGGGCTGGGGGGCCACAGGGACAGAGGGGAGGAGGAGAAGGAGATTCCCAGGGATGGGGTCAGGGACAGGGATGGGGTCCAGGGAAGGGAGAGGGCCCAGGGCTGGGAAAGGGTCCACGCAGCTTGGGTACACGGGTCCGTGGTGACTTGGCAGAGTGGCCTCAGAAGACAGGAGGTCTGGGGAGCAGAGACAGGCCATGACAAGGTCTCTTAGAGGCTGAGCACCCAGGAGCAGACACAGGCAGTGTGGGCACAGACCCACCACCCGAAGAGATGCCCACTCACCCCAGGCAGGGCCAGGCTTGGTCGATATGGCAGAGGGCTTGGGGGACCAGCAGAAGCCCGCCAGGAGCAGGGGTCTCCAGTCAGGGCTCAGACAGAGGGCATGGTCAGGAAGGGCACCCACAGGAGGCTTAAGGAGAGGCTGCCTGGAGGGCGTTCCCTGGGAGACAGGCCAGGGGTCAGCCCTCCTGCCTGAACCCCAGGGGGTCCGGAGGGGACTCCCAAGCTCAGGGAGTGGTCCTCTGAGCGTTTGCATCATGCCCAGGGTGGGGCCAGACTGGAGACCCCTAACCCAGGCCCTGGGCCCACAGAGGCGGGTGCTGGACTCAGACCTGCCAAACCTGGCCCTGACCTGAGCCCACCCGAAGGCCATCTCCCTCCAGCCCCGGTAACCCTCAGTCTGCTTTCTCTGCAGAGTGCACCCGATGCCCTGACTGCCCGAGGTGTCCCACGTGCCAAGGTGAGTCATCGCAGCCTTGCCCTCAACCCCCGGGAGGTGGCACCAAGGGGAGAGGAGCGCCGAGGACAGTGCTTGGCTCTCACTCCTGCTGAGGGGCAGTCTTCTTCGGGAAGGACGTTGGCCAGAGGAGGGCTCTGGAGTGAGCCAGGTGCTGGAAAGAGCAGGGATGGTGCATTGCAGGGGGGCTGGGTGGAAGGGGCCATAGGTGAGCTCATGAAGCCATGCCGGGTGGACCTAAGGAGGGTCAGTCGGCCCAGAGGTGGATTTAGGATACTGGGCTGGGGGGCCACAGGGACAGAGGGGAGGAGGAGAAGGAAACTCCCAGGGATTGGGTCCAAAGCACAGACAGGGTCCAGGGAAGGGAAAGGGTCTGGGGCTGGGACAGGGTCCAGGGGAGACATTCAGTCCAGGGCAGGGATGGGGTGCAAGCAGCTTGGGTACATGGGTCCGTAGTGACTTTGCAGAGTTGACTCAGAAGACACGTGGCCTGGTGAGGAGACACAGGCTAAGACAAAATCTCTTAGAGGCTATGGACCCCGGAGCAGACACGGGCAGTGCAAGGCACAGACCCACCACACCCAAAAAGATGCCCACTCGCCCCAGGCAGGGCCAGGCTTGGTCGCTATGGCAGAGGGCTTGGGGGACCAGCAGAAGCCGGCCAGGAGCAGGGGTCTCCAGTCAGGGCTCAGACAGAGGGCATGGTCAGGAAGGGCACCCACAGGAGGCTTAAGGAGGGGCTGCATGGAGGGCGTTCCCTGGGAGACAGGCCCAGGGTCAGCCCTCCTGCCTGGACCCCAGGGTTGCAGGGGAGACCTCCCAAGCTCAGGGAGGGGTCCTCTGGGCGTTTCCACCACGTCCAGGGTGGGCACAGGCTGGACACCCCTAAAACAGCGTCTGGGCCCACACAGGTGGGCGCTGGACTCAGACCTGCCAACATGCCCCTGACCTCAGCTCACCAGAAGGCCATCACCCTCCAGCCCCGGTAACCCCCAATCTGCTTTCTCTGCAGAGCCCCCGCCCTGTCCTGTCTGCCCACCGCATCCCACATGCCCAGGTGAGTCATCCGAGCCTTGCCCTCCACCACCAGGTGTTGGCGGCAGCCCAGCTGTGGCCCTTGGGGGGCGAGTGCCCAAGAGAAGACCCACCTAGGTGCTGACCCCCCCATCTCTCCACCACAGCTCCTGAACACCTGGTAGGGCTGTCAGTCTTCATCTTCTCTCCTAAACCCAAGGACACTCTCACAAACTCCCAAACTCCCGAGGTCACCTGCGTGGTGGTGGACGTGAGCCCAGAACCACCCGATGTCCAGTTCACCTGGTACGTGGACAATAAAGAGGTGAACACGGCCACAACGATGCCGAATACGGAACGGCTCAATAGCACCTACCGCGTGGTCAGTGTCCTCCCCATCCAGCACCAGGACTGGCTGAGTGGAAAGGAGTTCAAGTGTAAGGTCAACAGCAGAGCCCTCCCGGCCCCCATTGAGAAGATCATCTCCAAGGCCAAAGGTGAGAGCAGGACAGACGGGTGTGGGGAGGGTACCAGGGCGGAACCCCAGGGAGTGACCATCTATACTGACCCCTGTCCCAACAGGGCATCCCCGGGAGCCACAGGTGTATGTCCTCCCCCCAAGCCATGCTGAGCTGTCCAGAGAAAGGGTCATCGTGACCTGCTTGGTCAAAGACTTCTACCCACCTGACATCAACGTTGAGTGGCAGAGCAACGGGCAGCCAGAGCCGGAGGAGAAGTACAGCACCACCCCGCCCCAGCGGGAGGGCGATGGGTCTTATTTCCTGTACAGCAAGCTCTCAGTGGAGACGAACAGGTGGCAGCAGGGAGACGTGTTCATATGTGGGGTGATGCACGAGGCTCTCGACAAACAGTACACGCAGATATCCACCGCCAAGGCTACGGGTAAATGAGCCACACGCCCGCCGCTCCTGACAGCCCTCCCTCCCTCCCTCCCTACAGGCTCTCAGGGTAACATGAGGAGCCTTCATCATTCTGTACATAAGTCCCGGGAACCCTGGGATGAAATAAAGCACCCAGCATTGCCCTGGGACCCTGTGACACTCTCATGGTTCTTTCCAAGGCAGAGCACTGATGCATTGCACGCGTAGGGGTAGCCAAGCTCTGAGACCACAGTTGTCACCATTAGGTGAGAGAGACGGTCCCACTGAGGCAGGACCCAGAGCTCTGGGCTGTGTAGGCCGCCCAGGACGGCTGAAGGGGCTGCCCGAGGAGGGGAGGGGGCTTCGCGAGCGGCGGCAGCTCCTCTGGGCCACCCTCCAGCAGCAGCTGCTCCGGGCTGGAGTGTGGCCGGGGAACAGGAGAAGCCCCTCCAGAGACCCTCAGGGAATTGGGTGCACAGGCTGTCCCTCCTCTGTAGGAGCCCAAGCTGTGGGGCAGTGGCCTGTCCTTGTCCCCCTGCGTTCCCTGTCCACTGGGTCACTTGAGAGGTCCACTTGGTGGCTCTGGTCCATGAGGGACACTACCTTGGCCCGTTGTGTGGACACAGGCCCTACTTTTCTATCGGGCACTCTGAGATCAGGCCACCGCCCTCCCTCAGGCCAGGTGGCTCTGCCCTGCCTGGTCCTTTCTTGGGCAAGGCCTGTCCACTGGTGGGGACACTCACTCCAGGGCACCAAAGGGGCAGAGGCAGGTGGCCCTGAGAGCCCAGGGAAGGGACAGTCCCTGACGCCCAGATGAACACTGAGCCCAGACCCACTGAAAACAAGCCCCTCTCACCGAGCACTGCCAGCCCACATTCACGCACCTGTGCACACGCACACATGCACACACTCAGGCCTTACACACTGGGGCTCACACAAGGGCAACCTGCACATTCCCAACAGAGCACGGAACCCAGTCTTCTGACCCCTCACCTTGGACACCAGAGGGTCCCCACAGCCTCCAACACCCTGGGGGCCGCTCAGGCCTCGTCCTCACAATGACCACACTGACCAGCTCTGACAACCCGTCCCCCTCCTCCCCAGGGCACATACACCCCCACCCTGACACACAGAAATCCCCCACACCCAGCTTGTCCTCAGCACTCAACCACTCATGCTCTGGGGACACACCCAACCCCATCTCGGCCCTTCCCTGGGGCAGCAGCCCTGCTGTGGACAGGCCCTGCTGACCCTCCGCCCTCTGGGCCTGCTCCCCGGGAAAGATGAGGCAGGGCCGGAGCCTCTGTCCAGCAGGGGTCGGGATGCCTTCTCCCCAGAGGGCCCCAGCAAAGTGCAGAGCAGAGGAGAGGGCTGTCACCACTGGCCAGGCTGAGATCTGTACCAGGATTGTCACTCGCGTCCTGGGATCCCAGCTGGAGGAACGGGGGAACTGATACCAGTGCACAGAGACGGACCTGCCAGCCGCCTGGTCCACCCCAGCCAGGGGCTTCCACCTGCCCTGCCCACCCTGCCCCAGAGGGAACCACCCCCCGAGGCCCCAACAACCCTGCACCGGGCCCCCTCGGGCAGGCACAGCACCGACCATGCCCTCCCTGTCCAGAGATAGTCCTGGACGAGAGCTGTGCTGAGACCCAGGACGGGGAGCTGGACGAGCTGTGGACCACCATCTCCATCATCACACTCTTCCTGCTCAGTGTGTGCTACAGTGCCACCGTCACCCTCTTCAAGGTGGGCCAGGCCACCCCACATCGTCCCATAGCTGTCAACATGAGGTCCCCACACTCTCCTCACCATGTCCCTCCCTGTCCCCACCATGTTTCCACACTCTCCCACACTGTCCCCTTGTTGCTGCTTCACTGCCGCCTCCTGTCCCCTCACTATCCCCTCATTGTCCCCTCACTGTCCCCTCACTGTCCTCATATTGTACCCACACTGTCCCATTGCTGTCCTCTAACTTCTCCACACTGTCCCATCACCATCCCCAGTGTCCCCTTGCTGTCCACTGTCTCATCGCTGTGCCCACGTTGTCTCCTTGCTGTCCCCTCACTGTCCACTTGCTGTCACCTCAGTGTCCTATCATTATCATATCACTGTCCCCTCACTGTCCCCTTGCAGTCCCCTCGCTGTCCCCTCCTGTACCCTCACTGTTCCCTTCCTGTCCCTTCTCTATCCCTTCATTGTGCAACTCTGTCCCATCTTCTCTCTCTTCTCAGTGTCCCCTCTGTCCCCAGCATGTCCCCATGTCGTCCCCACCTGGACCCACACTGTCAGGTGGCCCCGGGTGCAGGGAGGGAAGACCTGGCAGGAGGCTGGTGTTGGGGTCCAGGCCATGCTCACCCCCTCACATGCCCACTGCAGGTGAAGTGGATCTTCTCCTCGCTGGTGGAGCTGAAGCCGACCATCGTCCCCGACTACAGGAACGTGATTGGGAAGGGGGCCTAGGGCCACTCCTCCTGGGCGGGCTTCCCAGACCGCCCCAGACCCCAGACAGGATTCGCGTCCTTCACTTCATGATGCTCCACCTGCCACCTAGACCTCCTCTGCTGCCCTCTGACTTCGCCGCACCCTTCAGCCTGCACCCCACCCTCTGGCCTTGCAGTCACCACAGGCTGCATCCTGCCCCCTGACTGCGTTTGGAGAAGTGAGTGTACGGCAGTTGTAACCCTGAGCTGAGCTGATGGACACTCACCGGCCCCTCCAGAGCAGCCACCAAGAAACGCCAGGGTCATGTGGACGCTGAGTCATCAGAGCCGAGCGTCACTCATCAAGACTGTCCTGGGGTCTGCGTGTGCGGTCACCCCAGAGGAGATGGAGGGCCAAAGTGTCTGTGTCCGTCTGGACAGGGGCGTACCTTCATGTAAACGGCTTCCATGCCGGGGTCCAGGACAAATGGTTCCCGAGTGGAGACTTGTGGTTTCAGATCCTTGAGTGGGAACTTCTGCCACCAATGCCAGGGGGATCCAAGGCCATCCTCCACCAACAGAGAAGTTTACAGACATGACCCTAACGGTCACTCAGTCACCGCCTCCCAAGGAGAGCACTCAGAGGAGGCCCTGGGCCATGGCCGCTACAGGAGCCCAGGGGTGGCGGCGACACCACCAGGGGAGGGGTGAGTGTCCGGTCAGACAGGCCTCCTGTAGAGGGGCCTAGTGAGCAGGTCCTCGAGCAACGAGAAGTGGCCATGGTGGACAGAGGTGAAGGAGGGCCAGGAGAGCAGCGCCAAGGCACAGCCACCCCGACCTGATGCCAGCAGGGCCTGAGTCACGTCCACAGGATCTCCGGTTGCTTCATGGCTCAGGGCTGAGAGAAGAGACCCCTGAATAGAGAGCCTGTGGCCTTGGGGAGCCAACCAGGTGGACCAACCTCCAACCTCCGGCCTCACTGGCCCCAGAACAGATTCCCCCATCATGTCTCTGAGCAAATGGCAAGTCGGCATCTCTAGATGGGAAAGACACGGATGCTCACAGGAAGGAGAGGTGGACCCCTGCACTGACAACTAGGGGACAATGCTCAGAGAGATTGCTCAAAGACAGGACACGTTGTAGTTGGGGTAGCTTTTTCCCTTCTTTTTAAATTTCTGAGGCCCACTGACTTTCTTTATTCTTACTTTGTTTAAAACAACAATAAAACATCCTTAAAGTTTCACACCTCACTGTGTTGACACACCTCGTGAAATCCAGAGCCTGGGCGAGTCGAGCATCAGGGGCTCCCTCCACACCCTCCCAGCTGCAGAACCTTCCAACCCTCCCTCCTCTCCCGCCCTCAGTTCTCCTCCAGCCCCTGGGGTTCCTTGGGGTAGGAAGGCGGCCCAGAAACAGGGCAATGACAAGAGGCAAGGTGGCTGATGGGGCCTGGTGGGGAGCAGGGCCAGCCTGAGGCCCGGGGTCAGGAGGAGCTTCCAGCACAGCCTGTGGCCAGAAGCAAGAGCCCCGTGCTGGGCGTGTATGAGTCAGCATGGCTGCTGCAACCACCAGCCTGGGCGGCCTGAACAACAGACATTTGTTCTCTCACACGTCTGGAGGCTGCATGTCCTGGAACGGGTGTCAGCAGAGTGGGGTTCTGCTGAGGCCTCTCTCCTGGCTGTGTAGATGCCCTCTTCTCCCCGTGTCCTCGCCCTGGCCTCCCTCTGCGAGTGCCTGTGTCCTGATCCCTCTTCTTATAGGACAGCAGTCACACTGGATTAAGGCCCAGCCTACTGACCACATTTTAACTTATTACCTCTTGAAAGACCCTATCTCCAGATACAGCCACATTCTGAAATCCCAGGAGTCAGTGATTCAATTTTGATTTGGGGGGACTCAATTCAGCCCAAACAAAGAGTTAGGTCCAGGAACACACACACACAGTACCATGTCCCCACACACTCAGGTATTGATGACCTCGGTCCTTCACGCTGCCTCCTGACCCGAGTGTCTGCTCATGCTGGTCCCTTCTCCTAGTGTTCCTTCCCTCTACACACCCAGGAAATCCTACACAGCCTTCTCTTAGCTCTGAGCGCCACACCTCCTCCTCTGTCAGTCTTACCTAATGTACGTAGCAGAATGCACCCACCCTCCCCCGGCCTCTGTCTGTGCCGGCCTCTCCCACTCAGTAGCCACCTGCGTCCGTCTCCCCAAATGTGAAGTACATGACCCCGCAAACAGTGACGTAAAGACACTGTGATAAGTGCTGTGAGGGGAAAGTGTGGGGCTGTGAGGCCACACAAAAGAAGGGACTGAGGGAAGCTGTCCGGGGGAGCGCCCACCCAGAGCCCTGGAAGAACGGAGTGGCCGGCCTCCCTCAGGTCCGTGCCTCAACATCTGGTGTCCTGGCCCCTCCCAGGTCACAGAACTTCCTCGACCCAAGATAAGTGGGGCCCTGGGGAGAAGACATTTGCAACATGTTAAAGGACAGGTTTTAACATGGTGATCACAACTCTCATATACACAGATAATGAACACATTTCAAAGACTCTGTGTAACTCATCAATTAAGGGGTTGTAACTAGTGCAAAGTAGAATTCAATGTCCCTCGTTGATATAGCGGAATCAAGAATGCTAAAAAGAGTTGATAAACAGACGCACTTTCTAATGCACTCTGCTTTCTCTACAGGAGCCAAGAAAAATCAACCATCCTTCTGGAGAAGAGAATTCCCATCGCCTTCGATTCTGTACAAGTTACAGAGGTCTAAAAGAGCTCAAAGACAATGGAGAGTGTGGAGTCACCGCTGAATCATGAAACAAGGAGGGGGGTGCTAGACAGTGTCGTGCTTCCCACCCAAGACAGAAGAAGTCATCTTTGGTCCATTTCAAAGTCTTTCACAAAATTTCCTACAAACATACAACTCACAACATGGCCTGAATATACAGAGAACTCCTGAAAATCAATTACAAAAATCACATTATTCAGTAGAGAAATAGGAAAGAGAATTGACAGATGCCTCACAAGAGATATCCAAAGAGCCATCAAACCTAGGAAAAGGATGCTGAACCACACTCGTTACAAGGGAAATGAAAATGAAAAACCACAGGAGAGAATGTGAAACCGAGGACAAAGGAGTTCAAGTTCCCTGGATTAGGATGAACCTGTGCCTGTACCCACAAGGTTATTGTGGGAAACAAAGTAACCAAAATTTCTGAGCTTGCCTTCAGAACAGCAGGAGGAGGACGGCTGATAAAGGAGGAGGAACTTGCTGACAGCCCTCCGCCTGACTCACCATCTCGCAGGAGCATTGAGAAGCTAAAATGACCGATTCTAAGCTTCACACGTCATAAGAAATATGAAAGACAGTCACCCCTGCCCCAAAGTCTCTTAGAACTTCACCCCCAAGTCTGCATGCTGCCCTCCCAGTCTTATTCTCACAATGTGCTTTGGGAAAATGCTTAGAACTGCATGTAGTCAGATTATTGTGTAACCAGGAGAAAGAATAACTTGTTAGCAGAAAATTTGTGTCCTCTACCCAAACCGTTCCCTCTGTCCCAGATGAAGAAGTACCTGAGGTTTTCTCAGAGTCCTCAGGAACGTGGCATGCAGCAGGTCCACTGTGGAGAGGCATCAACGTTCCGCCATCACCCATTACCTGCCATTTCTGACCCCGCCCCAACCTACTTCCCTTACATGAGTCATTTCCAAATCAGCTCCCTTTAAGAGGGGTTCTCTCAGGACAGTAGTCCACCATCCTCCCATGTGCCAGCTTATCGCTTATCAAAGCCCTTTCTCTATTACCACCTGCTTGGCGCTTATCTCGCAGACAGCAGATCGAGACCTTGCTCAGTATCAAAGGCAGTTCTGATTCCCAGACTGGGGGAGCGGCTTGAACCAGAAGAACCCTTGCAGACAGCATCATAAACAGCAGAAACCCGCTGAAAACAACAATGCTTTGAAGGCACTGGAGAATGGCCAAAGCAAGCAGACACTGGAGAAGTTCAGCCCTCGAAAGGTCAGTCTACATGTGCCCCCCAGGCCATGCCACAGGTGCAAGGGGAACACAGCAGACACAGCACCATCCTGGCCAGAGGGCTCAGGTCCTGGGATTCAGGGCTGCATTTCAAGAGAAGCTGGAAATGAAGAGTAGATGTCCATAAGAGGAGGGACACCGAAGGGGAACCAAAATCTGCATAGAGTCTCTACTCAGTCCTGGGTTGATCCCTCAACTGTGCGTGTGTAGGGGAAACTCCAAAAGACCAAGGGAAAAGCATTGGCTGGGAGGATGAAAGATATTCAGAGATTTCAGCTCCAGCAAACCACGGGGCAGATGGACGTGCAGTCAAGCTAACTGCCTCTGACATGAAAGCCAATACTTTTCCAGGAAGAAGACCTAACATGGAAGCAGGGAAACATCCTCCCCCCTACAGGAGCAAGCCCTCCCCCGACTGAGAAAGAGGAGAGGAGGGGGCAGGGCTGAGATCTGGGAGGAAGGCCAGGTCCAGGCCCCTTGAGAGGAGCGCGCCATCTGCTGAGGGGGCAGAAAGCCCCAGGCGGGCCTGGGTCCTGCAGGGAGACAGCCTGGTGGTGTCTCAGTCTCAGCACCACCTCCCTCAGGTTTCCTGCAGGCTGGCCATCCAGCCGGTCCTCCTGACAAGCAGACCACCCACAGCCAGTGAGCCAGGAGGTCAGAATCTGCCCGATGGCGGGGTGCTGGGGCAGATGCAGGATGTCGGAACAGCCAGTGGGCACGGGGCACCCACAGCCTGACGGAAGAGTCCCGAGGACCCACCTGGACAGAGGCTGAGGGCCAGGCTTGTCGGAGCCGAATCCAGAGCAATCATCTGAGCAGACCACACCGGGCCTCCCCTTCTGGAGCACAACCCGCTCCAGCTATAAGGGATGGAGACCAGGGACAGGTCACCCCTTACCTGAGTTCCTTCAGTGTTTCCAGAAAGTTCTCTCACTGTGGGCATGGTAGAGTCAGATGCAGACAATTCCTGTGTTACTTCCACGGGAACTTGAGGGTGAAGTATGACAGGAGCCCCAGGCTACTGCTCACCCCCACACCTCCAGGGATGACTCTGGTCTACATGGAAGGTACTGGAAGGCCTGGGCC